AAGGTTTTTAGGTGCGCATTATAGTGCGGAAAATACGGTAATTGTAACTGTGTAAACATATTTTTTAGGAATATAGTTTAGTACAAATGTATTTTCTTTCTGGAAATGTAAATGTCTCCACCCCTCTAATTAGTCTTGGTGGGAGCCAATTCCTTAAAAGCCAGGTGGTTCAGATGAGATTCTCCCTCTTCTTGCTTGACTGCATGACATGCTGTAAACAAGCTGGAGATAAAGAAAAAAAGTTGAGCTCTAAAACTGCTGGTTTCAGTCTGGTCTTTGATCGCAAACTAACAGTTTCAATTTGAGATTCTCTTTTCTGTGAAGTTGGTGTAGGGGAGATAGGATGAAATAAGTTTGCACTTCACTTTGTAGGTTTGAAAGAGTTTGGAACCAATTGGTTAGAATCGAACCAGACATTAACCAACTAAAGTGCATCTGGACAATGGCAGATAGGGTTTAATGCATCATGCATCCCTTGTTAGTTTCTGTGGTATCATTTCCTGAATGGACAATGTATTGTTAAAAATAATATTGGTGTTATGGTTAATTAACCTATGTAATTTTTATGCTGAGTTATTTGTACATCAGTTTTTTGGGGGGTTTATTCATTTATTTAATTTATTTTTCAGATAATCTTTCAGTACCTACTATTGCTGCAATTGATGGGGCTGCCTTAGGAGGAGGTTTGGAAATGGCCCTTGCTTGTGACATAAGAATTGCTTGTAAGACTTTTACATTGAAGCTACAAAGACACATAATCAAAAAAAGGGGCTTACATGTATATATGTTTCAAAATACATATTGGTTTCTTCTGCTTTACTTCTGTAGCCAGCAGTGCAAAAATGGGATTAGTTGAGACACAGCTTGCGATTATTCCTGGAGCAGGTGAGGTTGAATTTCTACTTTATTAATTTTTTCTGTTTTTCCAAAAGTAAAGAGCACTTGAAATCTTAAAAAAAAAAAAAAAAAAAAAGTTAGCTGCCATTTTGATTGTGTAATATTCAGGCTCCATTTTTCATATGTACTTTTTGTAGGTGGAACACAACGTCTCCCAAGGATTATTGGTGTGTCTCTAGCCAAGGAACTCATATTTACTGCTAGAATAGTGGATGGAAAAGAGGCAAGTCGTCTGGGACTAGTTAATCATTCCGTAGAGCAGAATGACAGCGGAGATGCTGCCTATCTCTACGCTCTTGAACTTGCTCGTCAGATCAACCCTCAGGTACTCAAGCAATGAGTTAACCCTTGTATATTTAATTGGAAAAGAATCAGATGCATGACTAAGTGAAAGGCTTGTCATTTTAAATCTTTTGACTTTACAGGGTCCAATTGCAGTTAGGATGGCAAAACTAGCAATCAACCAAGGAATAGAGGTGAGTTATAGTAATTGCTTAAGTACTAACTTTATCAAAATCCAGTATAAATATGTATGCTTAATGGCCAAAGTTTGCATTGGGAAAAATTGTTAGATGTCAGATTAGCTGTAAAACAATTAAGATTAGACTAATCTCCATTTCTGATCAAACACAATCGGGGATGGAGGGCTCGGGACCGTGTTTTTTTTTCATGGACTTGGATTGTTATGCCGTAGTCTTGGTCTTTGTCTCATTGGACAAAATGGGTTGAGGTTGGCTCGAGACTAGTTTTTGTCAAAATTACAAAAATGTTTATCTTCACCCGCAGACACACAACAAAATGAATGTGAATTAAAAGAAACATAAATGATCACAGTGTAGTTGCGTCCCACTGTCTCAGAAACAATACACTATTTTTGCTAATGATTGCAAAATCATGTAGCATGGGAATGTTTACAGATGGCATTGGGTCCTTAAATTTAAAAGGGCACATCTGTGTGTTCACATGCAGGTGCGCCGCCAGGAATTTTGGGCCCCATGGCAAAAAATTAAATTGCCCCCTCCTCCCCCCCTTGTGCAACTACTGTTACAGTTTCTTGAGTCTATCTCCAATTTGTTAAAGTTGTCACAATGTTGTGACAGTTTGCTATGAGACAGATAACCTGTGAAAACAATCAGTCTCCTCCATCTCCTACCTGAATTACTATTACTGGTTAAAGCAATGCACCGTTCTGACCAAAAACAACCAATCAGAACCAGGAGGACGGTCTTAGTGCTGTCAATCAACCTCATTCACTCACTGCTAAATGTGCAAATGGCGGAGAA